GATACCGAATATCCGTGTTCATGTTTGTTTGCACCGTCTTGGTGCGCCTAGGAGCTTTTCATGGTTATCTCACACGCAAAAGCTTCTAAAACCCGATATGGGGCCTTTGACGCTCATCAGATATCTCGAGATATCTGACTATAGCCAGATACACGAATATGGATGTACAGAATTTCTAAAACGGGGCCTTTTCAGCAATTCAATCTCTGGGAGAGGCGTTGTGTGGGGATTCGGTGGCATAGCGAACCTTGTTAGGATTTGCAAGCGCCTCTAATTCCAAGATGGGTGCCTCACTCCACACCATGCTAGGGGCATATTTGGCACTCGATGGAGAAGGGGCGTTGATACTTGTGTAACGGGCTGGAGTGATCGACTCTTGGTCATGAGAGTGAGCTGTGAGCAGAGATTCTTTTGATCGCAGCTTCTTTGCTTTACTTCGAGCCCGAGACGCGTTTTTCAGAGCAACTCGCCAGCTCACTTTGACAGCAAATGGTCCGTGGATGCCGCTTCGATCCCAGTACGAGTGGAAACCTTCAGCATTTAGCGATCGCACAAGCGCTCGAGTGATGTGGCGTAGATTAAACGGTTCTGCAAGAGAACGGATTCCTGCTAGGGCTGCCGGGTCAAGAATTGTTTCAAGCATCCCAAATTCTCTGTAAGAACGCACTATCGAAGTTGTTGCACTCTCTAGAACGGCTCGATCCATCTGCTCAATTGCGAAAGTGGTTGGAAGACGATAGCCCAAGATTGCGTCCATCGTATGGCTATAGTACGGTTGACAAAAGAAAGCATAAGAGAATTGTAACATGGTGTGAGTTGGCTGGTCCACACCTTGCATGCGAATTTGAAGAGGAATCGTGGAGCTCTTATTAACTATCGGCCATGTCACGATGTGGACCAGCGGAGTGGGAACTTGCCATTTGCCTCTTTACTTCATGGGGTGGATGGCCGGCCCCGCTTGGCTGGTCCACACCGTGCATGCCGCTTTGAAGAAAACAACGTGCAGCTGTTATCAACCATCGGCAACGTGTGGACCAGCACATTGGGGACTGCATGCCATTTGCTTCTTTTGTTTATGGGGTGGATGGCTGACCCGATCGGGTGGATGGCCAACCCGATCGGGCTGGTCCACACCTTGCATGCGGCTTTGAAGAGGAAAAAACGTGGAGCTCCATTTAACTATCGGCAACATGTGGACCAGCAGAGCGGAAATTGCATGCCATTCGCTTCTTTGGTTTACGGGGTGGATGGCCGACCCGATCTGGCTAAACCACACCTTGCATGCCGCTTTGAAGAGGAAAATCGTGGAGCTCTTATCAACCATCGGCAACGTGTGAAACAGCCGAGCGGAAACCGCCTGCCATTCGCTTCTTTTGTTTATGGGGTGGATGGCCGACCCGATTGGGGGGATGGCCAACTTGATCGGGCTGGTCCACACCTTGCATGCGGCTTTGAAGAGGAAAAACGTGGAGCTCCATTCAACTATCGGCAACATGTGGACCAGCAGAGCGGAAACTGCCTGCCACTTGCTTCTTTAGTTTATGGGGTGGATGGCCGACCCGATTCGGCTGGAAAACACCTTGCTTGCATGTGGTTGGGCCGAGGGGTCTTATAAACCATCGGCAACATATGGACAAGCAAAACGGAAATTGACCGCCACTTGTTCAGTGGTGCGTGACGGACACGTGCAAAGTACGAATCCGAAAGCATGCAATCAATCATCACACTCGAGCACAATCCCAGATTTTCTCACTACCTCTTGAATCTAACAGCAAGAAGTGCCTCCTCGAGGTTATCAGGAATACCCCGCTACGATCTGACATCTCTCACTACAACCTGACAACCCTCTTCCTGGACCATCATTGCCGGCCACCTGAAGCAAACCCTCTCAAGGTACTCTCTAAGAGCGACAGGGATCCGCGCCCTCAGGGCGACTGAATCTTGGATTCGTAACTTCAAGAGCTGGGCCATGAGATCCACCCCCACAGGCCCAACAACCGGCCGCTCCCGACTCCTTGGCGTCCGCAACAGCTTCCACCCCCCATACTCCCGAGCACGCCCTTTCTTGTCCACGCTCCGTGGCGCTCGGCCGATTTGAGTCGCCTCGAGCTGCAGCCCGAGCTCCGAAAACACGTGGTTGAGAGCAATCGTGGCCGACTTCTGCTCTGCCAAGACATTTTCGTTTCCGCGAGCACGCTTTTGGAATAGTTTTACGGTCTCAGAGTAGTCACGGAAGTAAGTGGTGGCCGCTAGCACCCCTCTCAACTCTTCAAGAGTGCCCGTGACGTGCTCATGGAAGAGGGGATGCGGAAAGCCAAGCGTCGTTAGCAGCTCCCTGGCAATGTCAGACTTCTGACGGGGGTACCTATGCCGCCCAATCTCCGTTGTGTCGAACTCATATCGAGGGTCTACGACTTGCAGCACGAACTCGACCGCAGAGATCTTGTAGGGTCCAAAGATCCTGATGAAATTTGCGTCCAGGTGCCGCACACAATAGAATCGTGCCAGCTGGTACTTTTCGAGCTGCACCCTCTCCCCTGGGTAGTCCTCAATCTTGCGGACGCGTGCTTCGATGGCGGCAAATTGACCAGGAGTGATGTGGGGGGCATGGACCATCTGCTCGAGCAGAATCTTGCCCCTCGCGAGATCCGTTCCGCCAAACCCCTCTTCTTCGGCCGCATCTATGATCCGCACTCCCCTCACGACGTGCCCATCGCTCACGAGCAGCTCAGTGAACTCTTCGTAGAAGTGCGTTCGGCCATTGAAGGCCTCCTTCTCATTGTGAGCAAGCAAGCGCGTGACCGGGGCCTCGCAAAACATCCCTGCGCCCACCCTCCCGTCCCGATTGAGGAACCACTGGTACGTTTCCTCGACCCCAAGCCTCGGGACCCGTCCGGCATTCTTCCCCATGATTGTCCTGTACCCGCTTCCCTCCTCCCCCTCTGTTGGCATTTTGATGCCCTTCCTAACAAAGCACATTACCAACGGGTTGACTAGCTGCCGGACTCGGCCCTTCATCTGGTCAAGGCCCCGCGGGTGCGTGCTTTCCATGCAGATATACAGGAACATCCGGTGGAACCATGGCCGGTTGAAATCGACCCCCGCCTCCACCGTGGGGCTGATTATCACGAGCCGCTTCTTCCAGCTGCGGTTCACATCCCCGAGGCCCCGCTTCACCTCCCCATCAGAATGGCGCGTGATGACAAGAATGTCCTTCTCCTCTAAAAGGCCCTCCTCTGCCATAGCGCTCCCCAAGCCCTGGGCTCTGTCCGACGACATGCTTACAACAAACACGTTTTGGCCGGCCTTGAGCGCGTCGGAAATTTCGCTCTCCCACAGCTGGAGCCCTGCTCGCCCCTCGAGGAACTCGAACTCGAGAGGCCGCTCTGGCACGTGCTTGTTGATGATTACTGGGGAGCAGCGAATCTTGTGCATCGTCACAAAGTCGAAGGTCCGTTGGCCGAGATGTCCGTCCAGGCAGATGACTCGGCGTGCACGCCGAAGCAGATCGACGACAAGCCGGATGACGATGTGCCTGGAAGAGAGGGTGTCGGCCGAAAGGTGCGCGAGTATCGATTCGCTCTCATCGAGAATGACCAGGTCGAATGACGGAATGCGCCCGTCGTTGCCAAGCAGCCCGGGCAGGCTGTCGACCTGGCAGATGACGCGGGGGTAGAGCTCTCTATCGGCAAGGGGCTCAATCACGAGATCGCCGAGTGAGCGCCCATGTCTCGTCTTCAGATCGCGATAGTGTGCAAAGTCTGGGTTCTTGCCGGCCGCATCGCTGGCTTGTGTCTGCCGATAGGTGATCGCAAGGGCCGTCTCTGGTTGGGGAGGCTCTTGAAGGATGGCCCGGGTGGTCGTTGACTTTGCGGTGTCCATGGGGCTTCTGATTAGGGCCACCTTGTAACGGCCAGCCTGCCACCTGCAAAGAGGAAGTGCTGCAGCATGAGCGAATCGAAGGATCGACTTTCGCATGCAAGATTCTGCTGATTCGCTGCAGCCTCGTGATTGGTTGA